TTTTTTTTTACATTGGGCCCTTGATTTTACGTTTTTACATCATGTTTTACTGACCCATATTAGTTTTGTGTCATTTGGAGCTGTTCTGAGCATATTCGGTTTTGTAATTCAAGTAACATCTTCCTATGGGCAACAAGTTGAAGGCACAAACTAAACTGTTCATAATTTATTCTTTATGGTACGCCAGCAGCATTCATAACATGCAGGCGAATCACTGTCCCCCAGACATCCGCGTTTATATTTTTTATATTTATATTTTTTAAAACAAAGCGGAGTGTGTATGACGTCATCCGCGCGTGCAGGCTACCGTTCATTCTTCCTGTCCGCTGAACTGCTGCTAGTTTTACTCACATGCCTGGAAGATGTCTAGTGCTACTACCATAGATGATGTCGCTCTCCAAATGGAATGGAACGATTCAGATTATGAAATTGTTGAGTTTGGGCTGCCTATCAGAACTCCAGTCCAGCGTGGGCACACACACTGCGCTTTGTTTTTTAAAAGTGTAAATATAAAAAATATAACCTCGGATGTCTGGGAAACAGTGATTCGCCTACATGTTATGAATGCTGCCGTATCATAAAGAATAATTTGACAACAGTTTAGTTTGTGCCTTCAACTCGTTGCCCATAGGAAGACGTTATTTGGATATAACATCTTCGTAACAGCTCCAAATGACACAAAACTCATAAGGGTGAGTAGAACATGATGTAATAACTTAAAATCAAGGGCCCAATGCAAAAAAAAAATAACGGCATTCCCCTTTAAGAGGCTAGAACAGATGTTGATGAACAAACCTGACCTTGCAAAGTCAGGCTTGCAAATATTAAAGACCCATCAACAGCTTTGTACTTTTGCCCTTAAAGCAACATTGTGCAACTTTTGGGCCAAGTATTAGATTAAATTGAGATTACTTTAGTGCCTTTTTCAGGTAAATAGAGATCAGCTGGTGCCCATCGATGCTCTCTGCAGAATGCCCTTCTCAAAAACTCCCCTAAGCAACTTCAGGGTTGGATGCATCACAGAATGGCTAATTTAATCCAGAGTGTCACTTTACCTTTCATGCCATCTCAAAAGGAATGAAATATTTATTTAAGCACTAAGCTCCTTCTTTTCACTGTAGACAAGCCATGATCTGCTTATCTGTTCTCCATTTTTCATTTGTATGAAATAATAGCTGCATGAATCACGACAGCAGACAAGATAGAGGAGAGCAGGGGGCTGGATACCAATCTACTCGCTCTGGTGAGCAGAGTTTGCTGCATTTAGATGTTGCCGCCAAAGTCTCCAGTAGCTGAAAAAAGTCCCTAGATTCGGCACCTGGTGCTTTTTTAAAATAAAAGTGCTAGAGGGGTCTGAAAAGTCGCTAAATATAGCAACAAAAGCTAATTTGGCAACACTGGTCATCGCATCGTTTGTTTTCAAATGGTTTGCTAAATCAGAGAATAAAACAATGTGACTGGCAGTAAGGAGAGTGGAAATAGAGGACACTGAGTTTACTAAATAAAACCTGGTCCCGACCAAGTTAGCTCTGGGGAGAATGTTACTATAGTGACTGAAACAGAAGTTAAAGAAACTCTCTTTGTGAACAGGAAAAAAGTCAGTTTTCCTGTTTTGAGGTTTAGACAACTTAAGAGTTTTTGGTAAACCTGCTTCTTGAAACAGACCCCAGGTTCTGAATGCAGTCGGTTTTGAATATCGTAGAGAGGAGAGAACTCCGTTTCACACTGAAAAAGTTTGGGAGATACTCCCAAACCCAGCTTCATGAGAACAGTTCTCTCCTGGTCAATTGCAGTAAATTTAAAAATACCACTTGGTGAAATTAAAATCTTAAAAAACTACATGTAATATAAAAATACCATTATTTCTGTCAAACCATACTATAGACAGGTTTGTTTATCATTTATACCAATGTACAATCAATTTGTAATTAAACAGTAAGGCTTTTCTTTGTTGTAGATCTCAACCCTCGACCGATACGGGTTTTGACAGACGGTATTGGAGAAAAGGAAGCCGAGCTGGAAAAGCTTCGTGAGTTTGCAGTGGACGTTACTCTGGATCCTGATACAGCGCATCCAGACCTCGTCCTCTCCAGCGACGGGAAACAAGTTTACGACACTGATGTCACTAAAGATCTCCCAATGACCTCCAACAGATTTGATAAATGTGCCAGTGTGGTGGCAAAGGAAACGTTTTCGTCAGGGAAGTTCTACTTTGAGGTCCAGGTTGAAGGGAAGACTGACTGGACTGTTGGGGTGGCCAGGGAATCCATCAACCGGAAAGGGAAAATCAACCTGAGCCCTGACGAAGGATTCTGGACCATATGGTTGAGAAACAAGGTTTATGAAGCTTTGGCAGACCCTTCAGTTGTTTTACCTCTAAAGTCTCGTCTTCAGAAGGTTGGAGTGTTTGTGGATTATGACGATGGTCTGGTCTCCTTTTATAATGTAGATACAGCAGATCTAATCCACTCCTACAAAAAATGCTGCTTCAAAAAGAATCTCATAATATACATCAATACAAGTAGTAATAACCAAGGTTTAAACTCTGCCCCGATAATTATAACTCCAGTAGTTCACAAGATAAACAAGGCAGAGTTGAGGAGTGTCAAGGAGTTTGCTGTTGAGGTGACTCTGGATCCAGATACAGCTCATCCTGAACTGATCCTTTCTGACGATGGGAAACGGGTACATCACGGAGATGAGAGAAAAGACGTCCCGGACAACCCCAAGAGATTCAGTGACTGTGTTAACGTTTTAGGAAAACAGAGTTTCTTCCGTCAAAGGTTTTACTATGAGGTCCAGGTTAAAGGCAAGACAGACTGGACTCTAGGAGTTGCCACAGAATCGATTGACAGGAAAGGAGAAATCACACTGCAGCCTGAAAGTGGTTTCTGGACTATCTATCTAAGGAACGGGGAGGAATACGAGGCATTCGATAAACCCATAGTGCGTTTAACAAGAAGGTCAAATCCTCAGAGAGTAGGAGTCTTTGTGGATTATGAAGGAGGTCTGGTCTCCTTTTATAATGTAGATACAGCTGATCTTCTCTACTCCTTCAACGGCTGTTGCTTCGCTGAGTCACTTCTGCCATTCTTTAGTCCCTGTACCAACGTTGGAGGAACAAACTCTGCTCCACTGATTATTTCTCCTGTCAGTTTCTTTGACTAGAGCAATAAAATATGGAAAACAAAAAAAAAAAAAGCATCATGTGAAAGTTAAAATCTGATGAGCAGATCAATGACTAATGAACTAAATGAATGAGTTTGCCGTTATTTTTATTTTTAGTAGGAATGTTTCTAATTTTATTCGTTTTAAATGTGTTATTTTCACTTTTACATGTAAATATTACAGATTTTATGTTCCCTTGAAACCCAAACTGAAACTGTTGTTGAGATGCAAAGTATTGCTTTATCACACATATAAAAACTAATACACTAACAGTTTTTAATCTTTTTTTCATTTGTTTCCCATACCCAGTTTCTTTTTTTTATGGCAAGAGTTTAGATTAACTAGAATGTCTTAAAACATATTAAAATGTTTAGTCAAATCATGGCAGCAACTGATTTACCATTTGACAATCTGGGTACGTACATTGGGGCCTTTCATCATCATCATCAAGTTAATAGGAAAAGCGCTTTTAAACAGCTAACAGCTCAAAACAAAGTGCTGAACATAGTTAACAAAATAATAAAACACAATGAAAGCATAGAATACAGCATAATGATATAAAATAAGGCAATAATTAAAATGTGTTGAATAATCAAGGTCAAAACAGTCCTGCCAGTGTTAAAAGCCAGTGAATAGATGAAAGTCTTAGAGGAATAGTACACCCAAAACATGATTAGCCTTCATTTTCTACTCACCCCCATGTTGAACAACA